TCAATCCACCATTAGGTTCTTTCTAACTTACCACTTTTCTTTCACGATTCTTAGCTATGGATCCTGTGCTTGTATATGCGAGACCTAATTAAATAAATACATACATGACCACCAACAAATGAATTAAAACACCACATAACGTTGTGCAGTTCAGCAAAACTCACCACACATGAGCAATGTTATAAAAGTTCTTTATTTATTAATATATTACATGGCATATTTGTTAATAAAACATTTGCAAAAAACTAAATAGTCATCACTCTAATCTTGTGTTATAAGGGTGTGCGACCAAAGATAGGTTTGAAAGCACAGACGCTTCACTCAGGCTTTCTTTGCATAGACGCCCTTCAGACCAACATCACGCACAAATCTTTGTCAACATCTTCCATCCGTCTATTTACCCGCTGTACTTCACCTTTAAATGCTAGTTATACAATTTGGCCTGGATTTGAGATTTTTAATTGTGTCTAAAAACGTCCGTACAAAGGAAAGCTGCGATGCTACATTGCTATTTTAATGTCTATTTACAAGCTTCCCAAAAATACATTTATCTCAATTGGAATAAATGGTTAGTATGAACAGGATGTAAGCTCAACTTGACAGTATCATAATAATAATAATCCTGGAGGTAATCCGTAGCTTTAATAATTCAATAAGATTTGAATGGGATGACGGGGTTTTATTTTTACATTTTTAGAAGGAATGCTATGAGAGGAGGGCTCGTCTAATCATGTTAAGAGCACGATTTCCAGATTAGGATTGTGGATAAGCGGGGCACATTTTTATACTGTTGTTTGTTGTTGTTCTGAGCCAACGATAAAATCCACACTGCAAAAAAATGATCAAAAATGAGGTAAAAAAAAGGTTTTCATCGTAATTTAGGTACATTCAAATTCATTCTGTACAAGTCTCTCCATGGCCTCGCACCAAAGTACATTATTGACATGTTAGTCCCATACGAACCAGCCCGAACTCTGAGGAGCACAGGGACTGGACTCCTGTTAGTGCCCAGAGTCAGGACTAAACATGGGAAGGCTGCATTTCAGATTCATGCTGCTAAAATCTGGAACAATCTTCTGTAAAATGTGAGACAGGCCTCTTCTCTTCTCATTCCAAGGGAGACATAATTTTTTGCAGTGCGCGTATTTATCTGTCAAAAATATCTCAGGTTTGACAGAAAAAAGTGACATTCTACCTACGTATGAGCGCGTGGAGGAGAGGTGCTCGGATCTACTGGTGAGATGAAAGACGACAGCAGAAATGATGGGGCCCACGGACGTCAGAGAAATCGGTCACACGCGTCACTCCAATTAGTGCGAGCGTGTCCGAATGAACTTCACGCAAGATTACAGAGACAGATCTGTATCCAAACTCGGACAGGTCAATCTAAGAGACAGCGATAGAGATGTGTGGTCGTTTTAACAAGGCAGGAATGTAGACAACTCACTGTAGAACTTCACTCCTCCCAGATGAAAAGAGATTACTTACTTAATACTTCCTTAGAGCAGTCAAAAAGATGGATTAGTAGAGTTTCTATATGTCATTAATTTCATACATTTTTTGAGATCATCTTGAGTTTTGAAAAGTGAGTATAGTTCTACCTTTAACTCCACCCCTTTTTTTTCAAGAGGACTGGTTCTGGTTCTGAGCTGAGATTAGTTTTCCCACCAGAGCCGGTCCTGGTTACCATAGCAACACTTTGTTTACTGACAGCAATTAGCATTCCGTTTCCTTTAATTAAAACGTGTTTTGCTGTATTTCAGTTGTATAGACCAGTTTAAGCAGTGGCCTGATGGAACATGTTAGATTTTTTAGGGAATTGCTTCTTTGCAAATCCCTGCGTAAAGCTACCATGAGTTACCCTCAAGACTTGTAAGAGTTGTAAACAATTTGCCGCAAAAAATGCACTAGGAGAGAAAACCCCCTCAAAGTTGTTTGTTTGAAATCTAAAATCTTCTTCTGTATTTAGTCCTGCCATATGGATCTGTGTGCTGCCTCTTTCATCAGAAACATGGTTGCATCAAAGGCTAATGTTAGCGATCAGTGATGTTTTTGCCCCTGTGACGCTGCTGTGTAATCCGTTTATCACAGATTCAGTTAAGAAAAACAAAACAAGTCAAAAGAATGACCCTGTCGCAGTAGCGCCGTTAGAGGAGCCAGAGTTGAGGAATGGTTTTGCATGTTTTGTTATGTCCCCTTTAAGATACATTGTTCTGAACGATTTGTGATTGTTCGCAGCAACAGGCAAGTCCAGCCAGACCAATTCACTTTACAAAATGAAATGGGATTTCTTCAGTTTGCTGCAATCTTCTTGTTATTTCTAAGATAAATCGAGAAGGAAAAGTGGTTTGCATTCAATGTCGTAAACAGTGTCGAGAGGTTAAAGTCTGAATAGACCAATCACTTTTTGAGAAAATCGAAGGAATTCAGTCTGCGGCAATTACATGAATGAATCAAGCTCAAACAAGATAGCTCAACAAAAACATAAGGAAAAAGTGGCAGCTGGTTAAATGCTTTTTTGACCTCCTGTACTTAGAAAATTACACTCAAACAAATCCAAGCACCGAACCTTGGGGGACCGAGCTTTCGCCATCTCTGCTCCCACTCTCTGGAACTCTCTCCCTCCTCATCTCAGACACTCGGACTCATTCAACTCCTTCAAAAAACAGCTAAAAACTCAGATTCCTCCAACCATATGACTCTTAGTTATAACTTTTTACTCTTTCCTGCTTTTAGATTTTTAGTTTTGTGTGTCTGTCTAAACGTGTGTGTGTGTGTGTGTATCCTGAATTGTGAAGCGTCTTAAAAACCGATGTATTATTATTATTAAAATAAGCAAAAAAGAAACATCTGTTTTGTGTGGGTCTTGAATATCTATACAAAAATTATTTGTTTTTGGAACTGACGTGTAAGTGTACTATTTTTCTCGGTATGTTTTTAATTGTGTAACGCTTCGTGATCTTGGTCTGTGAAAGGTTTCTGCTCTGAGGGGGTCCCAGACTAAACTGCTTTTTACATACCAACACCTTTTGATTAAAAAACATACAACTCATTTTATAGCATATAGTCACATCAGCATCTTGTGCCGCCTCACTTTTAATCTCACACAAATATCAATATGGTTCTGCAATCTACGTCGGTTCTCAACCACAGCCAATTACATTAACACACGCCGCTCGAGAGACTTTGCTCATGTTGCTCTATGTATTTGTTTCATGGAATAATTTAGATTGTTTTGGGAGTCTTCGTCATGTCGAAGTAAAAGGTATTTGGTTCTTCTTTACCAGACAATAGTAAGTTATGGATGTGATTACCTTGATATGTCTCGACGCTATACTTCCGTTTTCCTCAAAAGCGTCTTGTTTTACAGTGAAAACTTTTAAGCACCACTTTCAATTTTTATGATTTTCCTTTATAAATCATTGGTTGTTTGGATAAGACATTTCAGTTAAAGGAGCAGTATGTAAAAATCTGGCGGAAAGTGGTACTGCAACCTCTCCCGCTCTCCCTGACTCAGGTTGCCAGATATGCAGAAAAATCCAGCTGGGACCATAGAATCTGAGTTTTGTCAACAACAAATCTATAACAAACACTTTTTTCACAAAGGCCCCGATTTAAATCTCCATTTTATTCCTTGTTTTGTAATGATTTGAGAACTATAACAAGACCTTTTTCAGTTCTGCGGCCACATGGTACTTTAACAGTGAGATTAGCTCGACGCGGTGAATTCCGGAAACCTGGATTACGGACTTTCTGATTGGTAAAACGGTGGAGGGCGGGACATAGAAATCATAACAAGATTTAGGGGCTGTAAAACTAATTTTTAAATAGCTACTTTAAATATACCGAGGAGACAAACAGAGTGATATTTTAGAAGTGAAATACAGTTTGAATCATTCCCAGAAACTGTGCAAGAAGTATGCAAACCAAATTAGGCATGTGCTTACATTTAGGCACCTGGATTATTACCTTGACATGTTTCGAGGCTATACTTCCGTCTTCCACAGAAGCGTCTGGGGAAGCGTCAAGGTAATAACATTGCAAACTGGATGAGAATGCAATTAATGTAATATTTATAATCCTCAAGTTCAAAGTATTCTGCTTCCTTTTTCACTCAAGACAATTGGGGTGTACAGATTCAGATTCAGATTCATTTATTTGCCATTTGCACCTTTTCAAAACCAGCACCTCTTATATTGCATCATGTATTTTTTGATGTTAACTAACATTTTAAAGATGTGCATGATAAAACCCCGTGTTGTATTTTTTCTTTAATTTTGGCCGGCAATGGATGAGGCGGAATAAAATGGATGGATGGATGGATGGATGGACATTTTGCGCAATTTATTCCCTAATATAGCCATGAATCGCAACAGTATCTCAGAGGACCGAACAAAACCGTAGAAATTGCCAACACAATAACATTTTACTGTAAAAAAAAAAAAAAAAAAATGCTAACTTACTATTGTCTGGTATAGAAGAACCAAATACCTAGAAAAGGAGATTTAAGTCTAATCCAGGCGACTGAGAATCTCTCCATTCAGCCTGCAACTGTGAGGCTATGAAAACAAACAATACGTCGACCATGGCCCCTTCATTTGGACTGTCTTGTGATCACGAGCACCTGATGTTATGGCCGCGAGAAACTACGCCATTGTTCTTTATTGTTCTTTATGTCCTTCCAGATCCGCCTCACGTGACAAACTATAGCGAAAGTGGAAAGGATCTTCTGTGAACGTGTGCGTACAAAAGCCGACGGACATTGAGGCGTTGACCTTTGTGGCGGATGTATCAAGATTGATTTAAAAACATGTGCACTGTTGTGTCCATATAGAGTCCTCTAAAAGTGTTTTTCAAAAGTTTTTACAAGTTTTTGGAGAGTTAATTCCCACGTGGAGGCCATCGCAGTAGAACGTCCAGACTTGTAGGCCCCCATAACGACTGAGATATAGTTTTAGTTCTTATATTTGTGGTTAGAGGTCTGTACATAGCAGCTCTTGTCAAGTGGCGTATTTGAGTTTGGGAGGTTGGGAGTTGCAGGAAATCCCGGACAGCGAGGCCATCCCGGTGGTGGTGGTGGTAGGGGTGGTGGCATTGGCCTGGCTCTCCACAAACATGGGGTCCAAGCAGGCGACTTTGGCAGCGAAGAAAGCGTGGATGCAATGGAGCACGGCGAAAAGGTTAGAAAACTCCAGCTCCTAGGAGATACAGAGACATTCAAGTGTTAAAACCATAGATTGTAAATATTAGCAGACGTATTGACATCTATTTTGCCCGTTAAAATGTATCCCCTTGCACGTTTTGAAAATAGCAGCGGAGACTTGAGCGGAGACTGTGTGCCCATACGAGTCTGACACATGCCGTGAATTTCAAAAGTCATTCAAAAGTCCACAGCGGCCTTAACTAGGCTGGTCCAAAAAAAATAAAAAATTCCCCTCAGTATTGACACACATCTGGAAGGTAGCGTTTAGCAAAGAGCCGACTTTTGGACCAGGCTGTTTGAGATGAAAAAAGGCGCCAAAAGAATGCATTGGACATTTCTGTTTCCGGGTACACCCCCACTGGCAAGGAGTCAGATTACAAGCATGTCAGCGCACATGCTCATGAATCCTCTTGAGCCGGGACACGCCGCCACTAGTTAAAGCTGGGGTAGCTAACTTAATAGAGCTTTGAAGTTGGCAGATTCTTTGTATCCTGAAGTAAACGCACTCTATCTCTGTCTCTCGTATGTCTTCATTCATAATCCAAATTGAAGTTTCGGAAATTCAAAATATCAACAGTTTGAAGACATGATAGCGGCTAAGCTAGCTATCTGCTAACTATTGTTCACCAGTGATGGGAATAACGGCGTTACTAGTAACGGCGTTACTAACGCCGTTACTTTTTTCAGTAACGAGTAATCTAACTAATTACTTTGACAGTAACTATAACGCCGTTATCATTTCCGACATCCCGTTACTGCGCGTTACTCAAGACGCACAATGAACGTGTTGTCATGAGAGAAGGGAGGATGAGAAAACCTCTCAGCAATTATTGGCTGATGTAAATCATATTTCCTTTACAATCTACATGTCTACAGTTGAGAGGATGGCTCATAAATTGTGTTTTTGAAACAAATATGGGTCTTAGTCGCGCTCAACCACGGCTTGTATCACCGTGAGGTCAGCCACAGAGGAGCGCATGTGAGCGCAGAAGTCGGCTGCATACAATTCCATCGATAAGCTCCTTGCTCTTCCTGGTTTATCTGCTAAGGGCTGCAACAGGTTTGGCTAACATACATATAACACATTTTTACATAATCTAAAATGCACATAGGGTAATTTTTCAATTACTATAGGAATGATAAGAAAGAGAGGTGAAGTGTAAGACGGTTGATTTTAGAAATTGGATGCAGCCGGCTGCAGCAAAACAGAGGAGTTTACGGAGGACACACGCGTTTTGTTTTACTTTTTAAAACTCATTGGACTCATTTCCAAATGGAGGATTACATATCTACGCTCAAACCATTCACTGGATTTAAACAAGGAACTGGTCTGAACCGAAGTGGACTGTGCAGGTCATTTATAAGGTATAGCTATAAGGTAAGACCCATAACTCATAGTTTTACGTTTTGTATGAACAAACAATGCGGGCATAAAACATATTTTGCTGTAGCCAAACAAATTGTCCACTTGATTTATATGATGTATATGTTCATCTGATTGGGCTGAAGTCAGTGCTTCACCAGCCTCACCGCTCGTCACCGGTGTTTCCACATTCACAGTGGCGGGCTTTACAGAGATGAAGAGTGAACAGGACTTCAGCAGCAAAACAGCCTTTTCTAGATGGAAATATTGGCACTGTTAAAGGTAAAAATGCGCACGTCGGGTGCACATTATGTTCCAGAACAAAACGAAAAAGTAACGCAATAGTTACTTTTACTGGTAACTAGTTACTTTTATAGTGGAGTAACTCCGTTAGTAACTCAGTTACTTTTTGGGAGAAGTAACTAATAACTATAACTAATTACTTTTTCAAAGTAACGTGCCCAACACTGTTGTTCACTGCGCAAGAGTTTCAGCCAAGGGAATTTTACTTCCAGAAACCCTGAAAAACTCGCCCACTTCACAACTCTATACTATATGTTCTTTGTCCCGACAGAAAGAGTCTTGCAAAAGTGAAACAAGAAAAGCAGAAAAGTAGACCACAATGTTCTGGCTTTATCTTTTTGGAAAACATAGTAGCTTTTGCATACTCTCTGGTGATGATCCAAGCTGTTTTGAGAATGGGGAACTCCTGTAAATGGCTTATAATATATCAATCAATTGTCAGAAAGTTAGATACCCCAGCTTTAAAGTGTGTGTGAAGAATATTTTTACAGCGAGGCTTTTGTCTTGGGGACAAAACCGCTGTAAATATTTATGGGAGTTTAACATCAGTCAAGTGACAGTTTGTGACAGAAAGTTCTGACTCCTAAAATTGAATCCCTCCATCAATGTCAAAGACAAGTAGCGCTCAGAAAAAGCAATTATCTGACAGTCTATCCAACAAAATAAAAATCATATTTATTTCTAAATGTGTAAATGAAACAAGCTTTGGTGTTGTGGTTGCTATGGCAAAAGCCTTGACCTTGACCTGGCTGCAGTCAACAAGTGACATTATAAACCTTAAAATCTATGGAAAATCAAGTAGGAGTTTTTATCACATCCTTAACAAATGTATCTTAACTAAGATTTAGTCAAATTAGTGTTCTAACCTCATTTATTAAGAACTTTGGAAACTGTGGGTTCTGTTTACCTTTGCTTCGATTGATTTGGAGTCCTGGTTTTGGAATAAAAACTTGATCTTGCTTTTGCCATCGTCCGACGAACCTTTGAGTTGAGAGAATTTGTATCTCCACAGCACTGCCTGGAATGAGAAGAATAAGACATTTCAAAATAGGCTACTTTATAAGGAATGACTATACTGACACATACGTCTATTCACATTAGACGTGAAAATGTATACATTTGTTGTATGTGCAGTATGTTGCTGCTTGCGTGACCTTTTAATCATTAAAATATATCACATCATTTAACACTAAAAACTACAATTCCACTATAAATCACTTGGGAGGTTTCGTAGTTTGCTCTCCTCTTCACAGATCTGATCCGACACCAGCCCTACTTGGCTCACCTCGGCTCTGCTCTGCTCTACCCTGATTGGGAGTGTTTCCATTGGTCCTGTTTAAATGGTACCAGCTATTTTTGGTTACTAAGGACATTTACTGAGCCATGGTTACTAAGGACATTTCCTGGATACTGTTTAGTTGTTGGTTGGTTGCTAGGATACAATACCAGTTAGTGAAGCATTATGGAAGCAGGAAGAGTAGAGCAAAGTAAGACCATGTAGGGCTGGTGGAAACGGGGCTTTAGCCATATGATTTAATATTTATGGTTTAAGGCCATATGGTAAAAAAAATACAACCAAAACTATACCATCATCTGTTCCTGCGGTTTTTAACTTTGTATTTGTATTTTAAATGTACTTTTTACTTGTTATCTAAAGTGAGAAAAATGCCTAAATACAATGTCAAAAATATACAAATACATATGTATATTCCAGCTAAAACACCAGCATTTAGGGACAAGCAAAAAGTGATGCCGCTGAAACACACACTTAAAATCCATCATATCAATACATTCTAACTTTATAAATGTAAACGCATCCACCTAATTAGCACATACAAAAGTTACACATCATCACAAAGACTCTTGTACACCACGTATATTTTGGCCAATTCCTCGTTGTGTGACTGCGGTGAATAATTCATGTATGGGGGTCCGTGTGGGTTTGCTGAGAAATGGGGCACGTCAGCAGATCAAGCTCATTTTGGTCACAAGCAAAAAAAAAATAAAAAAAATCTGCATACGACATACACTTTAGTCACTATTGGGAAATTTAGCAAGACGACGCAGATGTAGCTAAACCTCGGTGATTCAATTAGAACTCAACACATGCAGTAAATCAGCATCGAAAGCATTAAAGGGGACGTGACATAAATAATTCACTCTTCCTTAGATCATGCTATTTTCTCTTGGGATTTACATACAAGTTGGATTTTTATTTAGATAATCTTCACCTCCTTTTTTATGACCGACGAGTGACGCTATTGCTCCCCCCTTTGTTATAACTTTATATGTTGTGGAGCAGGGCCTTTGATGTGACCCCATTTCAATGATGTCATGCAAAGAGGAAGAGCACAGAGCGATATGGCAGGACTAAATAAGGGGTTTGCATTATTTGTGTCCATTAAAAAGCGTAATGAGACAATTTACGTTGTCGTTTCATGTTTTAGAAAATGAAATAATATATTCCGTAGCAAATATATGGTGTTAAGAGTGAGGGTAAACAGATGGGTGTGCGGGTGTGGCTGAGGGGATAGCACTCTCGCTTCTCCGCAAGAAGGTTCTGGGTCTGAATCCCGGTCGGAACGGGGCCTTTCTGAGTGGAGTTTCTGCGGGGAGAACACTAAAAAACATATACGATAGGTCTTGCATGTGCCTCCTGTGCTGGCGACCTCGCTCCCATCTCTGTGTGGAGTGAGAGAAAAGTGCCCACAACCATTGTCCATTACTACACTCGACAGATACACGTTGTGTCTTCTTTAAAAACGCGCCAGTCAAAGAGTTTAGAGAACAGATTATGTGCAAAAGAAAAAAAAAGAATGTGTAATGAGTGAATTTTTCAAAAGATTTCTTCTCATTGGCTGGTGGATATGCATATACAGTAGCTCAGAGATATGCAGCCAACAAAGGAATGGCATGCAAGCAAGTATTGTATGGCAGCTATGTGCAACGGCCAACATAACACCCCCCCCCACCCATCCGCTCATACCACCCCCACCCGCTCTTACCCCCCACGGTGTGTTCGGCATGACAGAGACACAACTCGCTGATGCTTTTACGGCTAATTACGGCTTTGAGGCCTTTTGCATAATGACGTACTGTAAGTGATTTATTATGAGGTGGGCTTGGATATCTTGAAGGGACAACATGGCTTAATTATAGTGTGCTTTATTTTGATTCCTATGTTTTTTTACAGAGAAGCCTTTAATATATTGGAGGTCCTCATTTGTCACTCTTTCAAACACAAACCATTGTTCAAGATCAAAGACGGGCCAAACAATACAACACAATACAATACAATTTATTCTTGTATAGCCCTAAATCACAACAGCAGTCATCTCAGCGGACTAAACAAAACCATTGGAATCCCCAACACAGATCAGAGAATCAACAGTTAAGACCAAAAAATACACATTATGTATTGGTCCATATGGGAGACCAATGTCCATGAATGTTGATAAATGTCCATATATGGATATGTTGTGAATGTATATGTACCGAATCCCTTCATTGTGTTTTTAGAACTATGGAAGCAGTCCTGCCCACTTTAAAAGCATATTTAATGAGCTACAATGTGTTGTTGAAATGCTGTATACACTGCTAAAAAATAAAAGTAAAATTATAATAACTCGAAGAGCAGACCTCCGCTAAATGGTTCTTGTCCTTTAACCCTGATCATGTGAAAGGACAAGTAATAAACTATTCGTCCCCATTAACTTTCTTTAAAGCCTGTGGGTATGTGCTTGTGCCCACTCGGGAAATCAAGAGTTTTGGTGACGTTTTATAATACCATTTATTATTAGTTTAACCATGTTTGTTCTGTGTCCTTGGGTGTTTTGAAAGGCGCTTTTAAATGAATTGTATTATTATTTATTATTATTATCATTATTAGTAATCGTTGCTCAAGTTACACTGGAGGAAAGGTAATCAGAAAGTAGATTACTGATAATAAGCTCTTCTAAAAGATTGCTACTTTAGTTCAAAAGTAAACAAACTGTACTAACGTACTAACTTTATTATGCCATCACCTTATATACTGTATGTACTGCATGTATCCACCCACACACACAGGAATACTTTTTACTGATGGCTTTTGTTTTAACAGACGCGATGTTGATCGTTATGATACTGACAGTTGTTACAGTATGTTTGTGTTCAGTCTTCATTAGCTCCAATGCAGAGAGTGTGCAGGGGATCGTAAATCTGTTGGTCTCTACCCATTTTTGACCTAATTCTCTCTGTTGGTGAGGTATATAACATTTAATCAGTCCCTCATTGCATTATGTACACACAAATTCAGGTTCAGACTACTTTATTTATCCAATTGGGCCATTCATTTGAGCGGCAGAGGGCATAAAAACATATTTTCCCACTTCACTTTATTGCTCTGAAAATTGCACAAAAATAAGTCCTTGAAAACCTTGAGTCTGCACAAACTTGACTACATACTTAGATTTGAATGTGTCTGCTTCTTTCATTTTAAAATAGAAATGTTACATGAGAAATTAAGCAAAATTTGTCCAAGATAGTTGCGCTTCATCAACTATAACATGGCATGATATTTTCTAACATTTATCTAAGGCTTATCTCTAAAGCTATTGGGATTATAAGCCATATACACGTATAAAAGTGATGAAAAACAAGTAAAACATTCTCAAATTTGGCAAAATGTATCTCGATTTAAGTACATTTTCTCTACCTCAAAACAAGATTCACCAATGGGACCATAAAAATTATCTTGTTTTAAAAAGATACAAGAAATGTCTTCCTTGAAATGAGAAAATAAAGCAACAGTTCTTAAAAAAAGACTAAATAGGTTGTCTCATTGGCAAATCTGGTTTTAAGACAGTCACAATGAACTCAAATGAATATAAAAACCACTCGATTCAAGCATTTATCACCTCATATTTTCATATTTTTTGCAGTGTTACCATTTGGATTGAAAACCTGAACAAAAAAAACACAAGTTGTACAATCTGTGCAATGAGGAGTAGTTTTACAATGAGTTGCCCTAACCCGGAAATGGACTAATCATAACAGTAGCCGAGGCAATCCTAAATTGAGCTGGTTTAAAGCAGACATAAGCCCCATCGACCTGAACTCCTCTCCACCTCACGCTCCGAGCTGTGGGAACGAGCGTCGGCATGTTTACCATAAAGCCTTTAAGTCCTCGCGTTCTTCTTTTACACCGCTGCTTTTTCTGAGATATAGAGAAACAACTGTCTTGACCTGCAGACCTTTCTCTCTTCAAGCCATTCTAATTTCCACCAATTAGATCCACCCACTGACAGCTGCCATGGCAACGGTATATTCACCATTATCCTCATCATGTATTGATGGTGGGAGTCTATTCTCAAATTTGGCAAGCAGATTATTTGGAGTCAATAACTGCCACTTTATGAAAGCATTCCATCAGCTACTCAAAATGTGAGCTGTCAAAGTAAAAAGTTAGTTTACCCATTTACAGCCAAAGCTCTGATTCGAAGAACAGAAAGTCGTTATTAAAGATGGACGAAGAGTAAAGCTGTTTGGATTTAAGATAGGATAAGATAAACTTTATTGTCGGAGGGGAATTGCCCAGGGGAAATTTGTTGTGGGATATACAGTGCGACACAGATCTGCATGAAAAAAGGGTAGAACGTGCAAACTCCACACAGGCTCTCTCTGGCCCAGGAATCAAACCTATTAACACTGCAAAAAGTGATAAAAAATAAGTCAAAAATTGCGCTAATTTTGCAAAATGTATCTTAATCTGAGCACATTTTGGCTGCCTTACAACAAGATTTGCCATTAGGACAGGCAAAATGATCTTGTTGAAAATAAATGTCTCCCTTGGAATGAGAAAATAAAGCAACAGTTCTTGAAATTAGACTAAATGGCTTTGTCCCATTGGCAAATCTTTTTTTAAGAATGTTCTAAAATCATGATGAAAACCACTCGATTCAAGCAATTATTATTATCTTAATATTACTCATATTTTATCGATTTTTGCGGAATTAGTTTCTTGCAGTGAAGCCCACT